TTTGCCTGTCCTTCCTTACCGTCGATCCAGTTCTTTGCGGCACCAGCACGACGGACATCCGGGAATTCAACAACAGGTCCTCTAGTCATACCATCACCAGTGAGAACGGTAACAGCTCCACCACCGGCGTTGATGGCCTTGCAACCACGGGAAGTACTAGCAACGAGAACACCTTCAGTGGTGGCCATGGGGATGAAGAAGTCTTCGCCATCGATGTTGAGGGGTCCAGCAATACCAACGGGGAGAGGCATGTAACCAATGACATTTTCACAGCAGGCACCAAGAACACGGTCGTAATCGTAGTGCTCGTATGGCAGAAGTGATCTTTCGAGCAGAGCAGTCTTGTCGGCGGTAGCGGGGGTTCTAGAAATAACAGATCGTCGAATCTTGACAGCACGGGTAGTATCCGCAAGAGTCTTTTCCAAAGCATAAACGGGAATCTTATTGCGGAGGGATAGTTCGATTGCCTCAACATCACTGAGCTCCTTTCCACGCTTCTCCTTCAACAAAGCCTCGCATTCGGCGACTGTGCGGCCAGACTCGGAGGTGTTTGACTGGGTAACACCTCCCTCGACAGGTCTCTGCCTCCCACCACCACATGTGCAGTTTACAGCCAAAATACGTTCAACGGGGCGAGGCTTGTTCTCGGTGTCCTGGGCCTTCTTTGCCTTCTGGCTCAATTCGGCCTCCAGTGTCTGTGACGATTCCTTCACACTCCATCTCGCGGCATTGAAGAGGTATCCGTTGAGAACCAAGCTGAGGGCCAGGGCAACGATAATCCACTTGCTTAAAACGGGGTCTTCCAAGCTCTTCAACAATCCCTCAACAACCTTGCTTCCAACACCCTCTACAAACAAGTCGGATCCATCATAATCACCGAGAACCGAATCACGACCATTGACAGACGCAGAAGGGTAGCTGGTGCTCGGGAAGCGCAGTTCATACTCAATGGGCCTCAAAACAGTAACAACAGTTGAACCATCAACAGGGAGCAGGAATTCCAACGCACTACCGGCAACCTTCCAGACATCTACGTCGGGAATGACAATCTCAGTCTCCTGAGCAATAACCGTTGAGCTACCACTATCCCTAAATGGCAGGGTGCACAGATTGAAGACATTGACCAGGACGAATCCGGAAACCATCAACACCTTGAACCTCCCCACGCTGGAATCCTTGACGCGCTTTCCGAAAACAACGGTGCCCTCGTCGGCGGTGTCGGTGGTGCCATCCTCATTCTTTGCAATCTGGCGCGGCCATTCATTTGACCGGGCGACGTTCTCCGCCACTGTGTGGCTAACACCATCCTCCTCAAGAGCCTTGCGGAGCGCCACATGACGCTTGATCCTGTTGATCTCAAGCTTAACAACCAAGATCGCCGTGTAAAAGGTGAAAAGAAGAATACAGTCAAACGCCAAGATCCAACCGGCGAGGAAACAGAACTGCCTCAGACCACCTTGTACCCCTGACGCGGCGCCGAGAGCAAGAACGATAATTTCGATTACGTAATCGCGAACGATTTGGAACCCCTTATCCTGGACGGCGGTGAGAACAGCCTCTTGGATTGATGAGCCACCCTGTTTCTTCTTCTGGGAGGCCAACGAAGCTTCCAACACAGCCCTCGTAAGAATAATAGGCTTTTCGAATCCAATTGTGACTACCAAGAATGGCAGCCCTTCGGAAAGGAGAACCATGTTGATGGGAACACCAAGCTTATGCGTCGTAATCGATGCGAACAGGAAGGCGAAGCTGGATGAGCACAAGACAGTCGCGGCAAGCCAGAAGTTGGACCCTAGCCGGCGCATCGACAAAAATAGTGACAGGAACGTAAGGTGCATCGAGAGGTATCCCAGGAACATGATCGCAATGTCAAGCGGATCGGCATTCTGCTCAAATTATCAGATGAGAATAGGGGGCTACGTAACGCATGAGATCATACCTGAATCAACTGCTTGAAATCTTCAATTGTACCTTGGGCTCTCTCTATCCAGCTGCCAGAGGCATTGCTACGGGCAGACTGCATAACCCAGCGCCGCGTCTTCTCGCCCTCCTCGGACTTTTCGGCATCAGCAATGGGTAGTTCGGAGACGGAGTTGACGAAGCTGGAGATTTCATCGTAGGGAAGAGCGTAGACAATCGTAGACTCCTCGGTTGAGGGGACAATTGAAGCAACAGAACCATTTGGGGGGATCGGTGCAGAGAACCCATTGGAGCTCTTTGGGAACGAGAGCGTCAGGAGAGCTAGCTGCGTTGCAGACTATAACAATTGCAATGATGTTCGTCAGTTAAAGAAACTCTAACAAATGATTGTTGGGAAAAAAGAAAGGGAAAAAAGAAAGGAAAAAAAAGTACCTCAAACCCATCATTCCCAATCTCCTTCCACTTCCACTGCGTTTCCTCGCCCACAGCAACGCGGGCACTCCCGTCCATCAACGACAGATTCTTCTTCGACCCGCCAAATGCCCATCTCATAGCACTGCGGTCGAACAGGCTGTTCTCCAGTATAGAAACGTATGTTGTTGAAGCCAGCAGAGCTATGATGACGATCGTGTGGATAGGATGGATGCATGCTCTCTTTGAGAGCGTCTGCACCAGCGACGTGAACGGGTCCCATTGCGGCGGCGGCTTCTTTGTCGTGAGCGACGGCGGAAGGAGAGGAAGCTGCATTTCTGCTGACTGCTTCGTGCTTCTGGTGAGGGTTCTGGCTGGCTGGTGGGAAAAACCTCAATTGAAGCAGGAATGGGGAAGGGGAAAGGGAAAGAAAAAACAGGAGGAAAAGGAAGTAAGTAGTAGTAAAGGTAGAGCAGCAGTAAAATAGTAATAGCCCCCTCCTGCTAGGTACTTTACCTACTCGTGCTATCCACCCCCCGGGCAAGGAAGCTGGATTGGATTATTGGGTTTATTTTATTGGAAGTGAGATTCTGAGGACAACAACCCCTGTCAGTTCAAATTTCCGGGTCCGTTCCACCCCCCCATACCACCTCCCAACTGTTCTTTTTTTTTCTTGTGCGCTTTGCCCCTGAAAATCGTGGGTAGCGGGCTCCGGGTTGGGGGATACATAAGCATTTTTTATTTTTTTTATTTTTCTTTTGGGGAGAGCTCAACAAGACGATACAATTGGGGGTGAGGCGAGTCTCAACTACATACATTGAAAGAAAGAAAGAGAAAAAAAATAGGGCATTGTTTCCCAGGGACGTGACGACATGAGGGTTTATCTTTCCTGTGCGCGCGCGCAACCTAACCAAAGTAGACTCGAGAGGTTACATAACTTGGTCTGTACGTACCTTGTAGACCAACACCACTTCCATCCACCCCAACACAACGCTCGATAATGGCAGATAAGGGCCTCCCCCGATTGCGCAAGAGAGGGAAAAAAATGTTATTTTTCCCGAGGTTATTGATTGTCGATAATGTATGTAGGTGAGGTATGTGATGTATGTGTGTATGCCGACAACTACATGCAGTACATACGACCTTAGGTATGGGTAAAAAGGCCTGCCACAGGGACGTGTTCTGGTGGAGTACAGTGGCACCTCGTTATGTCGTTAGCGTATTCTGGGAGCCAAACCCCTACGAGATAGCAAGTATACGAGACAGCAAATACAGTCGCAACTCGATATGCCGGATTGCCAAGATTCTAAGGATTCCGTACGGGATAGCAAAAAATCCGGGATAGCAGATTGATTTTGCAGTAGGAAAAATAATATTCTCAGAGGATCTCGTACGGGACAGCAAGGGATCCGGTGTATTGAGTTCCGGCATATCGAGTTGCGACTGTAGTTTTTGGTGGAGAAGGGCAGTACCTGTCCCGCAAATCCGTACGAGACAGCAAGAGATCCGAGATATCGAATTACGAGATAGCGAGGTGCGACTGTACTCTCTACTTTGCCTACGTTGAGGAACGTTGATGCGGAGATAGCTAGTTCGGCGCAAGCCAGCAAGCAAGCAGAGCAGGATTGCAGGGATGGATCTGCAGCAGCCGCCTTTCACGGCGGGCGGGTGGGGGAGGGAAGAGAGGGAGGAGGAGAAGGTGGATAACAGACGTACGAGCAGGTACCTAAGACCTATGTAGATAGAGTAGCTAGCCAGGAAAGGCTGCCAGGCCGAGTAGAGTAACGAAGGAAGCAAAGGTAGATGGGAGTAGAGAGGAGTGAGATTCACAATCCCAAGGACATTTGTTTTGTCTTTGTCTTTATCTACTTCTCTCTACCTATCCTGCCTCGATCCACAGCTGTCTCCATCATAGGTCAGATGCGCCCATTTTGTTGAGTGTTGATGGCGGAGAAGCGGCAGACCTCAGTTCTGTCTGTGTCTGTGCACACGCTGCTTGTTCTGTTCTGGATGTGGAATAGCACTCCGTCTAGGTAGCTAGTCACCGAAACTGTCTGTCTGCCTGTCCAGCGTAAGAGCGAAAGAAAAGAAACAATCAATCAAATCATGATCATGATGATCGATGGGGGACATACCGACATATAGAGAAAGTGAGAGAGCGAATAAACTGCAATCCCGCATGCCCCGTCCAGAACAGCACAAATCAAAACCCTTCTTCATCTCTGCGCCGTTGCGGCACGTGTTTTGCGTCTTTCGATTCCCCGTTCCATGCATCTTCCGAATCCTCTCTCCCGGCGGTCCAGACAGGTCTGTCTTTTGTTCATCTCACACCACACGCGCCTGTTGAAACAAAACGCGTAATAACCCTTACTTTACCTGCCTGTGATCATTACCCCACTACCACCACTGCATTCACGATCAGAGAGAGGGTTCAATTAAGCTCCCCCACGGAAGTCAGGTGTCAATAGGCTTGTTTTCCCTCCCTCCCACGTAGGTAACCTGCCCTCCGCAGCTAGGTAAGTACAAGCCATCCCACAACCACGGACCAGACCAGAGTGACAATAAGCTTATCCTCACCCTGCCTATTCTACCTACCTCTAGACACTCTAAATCCGCTATATAAATAGCTCTGCACACATCCACGCACAAAACCCAAATCTAAGTCCGCAATGGCCACTCCCACCCCACCAAGTCCCTACCAGCCCCTCCTCACCCAAGATAAGCCTCTCCCTTCCACCCCTCCCTCTCGCTCTCCACACTAACCCCCCCAGCACTCATCAGGCTGCAACCCCTTCTCGACACCCTCCGCCAGCAGCACACGCAGCTGCGCGCTCAGAACGACAAGCTTGTGCGCGTGGGCGTCGCCATGGAAGGCACACTACGGCCCGTGGAGGGGGGTATGCGGACTGAGCGGGAGAAGCGGGCAGCGGAGGAGGCCGCCGGGAGGACAAAATATGGGGGCGGGAGGGGCGCGGGAGAGGAGGGAAGGGGCGAGGAGGGGGTTAGGGGTGTAGGTGGGAAGTGATAATGGAAATGATCGTTCTGGCAGGAATTTGTCTGCTGGTTTGTATTGTATTTTTAGCTTGTTGAATACAGTTATTCTTCAATGGCGAATGGTGAAAATAATAGTAAACTTTCAATTAATAGGTAATAAGTAAGCAAACTAAGCAAATAAGCAACGAGGTAGGTACAGGTACATAGTAGATAAATCACATCCAGGGCAATTACAAGCGACCCCTTCCTAAAGCAAACGCATTCTACAACCGCTGCAACCATTCTCAAGCACAACCCAGCACTCGTACCCTCCAAAACCCCCAACGAATAGAGGATGCAATGAAAAATTACCGCTCCCCCTCTCAGCAGAAGCTATATTGATCCCCTCGCACCACGACATACACCCATGCTGGTGGTATATACAAACAAGTTATTTTTCCAAACTCCTGACCCGCTGCCCCCAACCGAAGCCAAGCACAACTTAAAAAAAAAAAAAAAAAAAAAGACAAATAAAATAAAAAATAAGAGAACGGGAATAAGAAAACAATACAGCCAGCAGCTACCAGTAGGAAAAAGTAGAAGAAACCCTGCTTCTAGTAAACAAACAGACACAAAAAGGAAAAACCAAAACCAGATTCTCAAACCGACTAACTACCTATTTATTTATTTATTTGTTCCCGAAGTCGAGGACTAGGCGCCTCTCGACCTCCGTCTCCTTACCGACCTCTTCCTCGCCCTCAAACTTCAATCTGCAGGTCCCATCTCTCTGCCTAACGCATTAGCACCCACACAAAAAATACCGGGAAACAAAAAGACAATAACTAACCTTGGTCCCCATAACTTCTGCTCTATAAAAGGTCGTTGTCTCTGGATACCTCGCCAGCACCTGCTTCCCCACAGGATAGACTGGTAGCCCCGCACTCTCCCTTGGGATCGGGATCAGTGCGTTGGCAGACGCCTTATACGTCTTGCCATGATCTCCAGCCTCGTCCGGCTCTGGGTCCTGCACCTCATACCTAAACCACACGTCCGCCTCTCTATCAGTCTTCCTTTCCTCACCCAACATACATATACGAACTTAGGATTTAGCATACCGTCTCTTTGCACCATCTCCCCCAATGATGTTAACGACAACACACTGTATCCACATGTCCTCAGCTCCCTTCTGCTTGGGCCGGCGGTAGGCAACCTCGGAGTTGATATATAGCGCGTCGGCGGATGGCGCGGCGGAGGCGCCGCGCGCAATCTTTGTGGTGCGCGTGGGGCTGTCGGAGGTGAGGGCATCATCGAGCTTGCGTTTGCCGCGCTTTTTGTCGACTGGGGGGTTTGGGGGTTTAGCATGGGTCGGTTTTTTGGCTCGAGTAGCAAGAAGGGGCAGGAGGGTAGGGGTGGGGGTAAGGGCAAAACAGAGGTAAGTGTGGTTTTTAATAGCATTTTTTTTCTTATAACATTGGTTCTTGCGGTAGTTTGATATGGAGTTTTTTATGTCTTTCTTTTTTCTTCTTTCTTTTGGACTGGGGAGGGAGGGAGTGGAAGTGCTATATACCTCCTCTGTCACCGCCCTCTGTTGCGGTTCGGAGGGCGATTAGAAGGTCGTTCTTTTCGACGACGGAGTGGAGGGTCCTGAGAAGGTTGTTAGCATATATAGTAGGGTAGTAGAGCTGCACTTACTCTTGCTCTCGCTCGGCGAGGTTGATGTGCTCTTCGTAGAGCTTCTCGAGGTGCTCGTATTCTCTCCAGGATGGGTCTGAGGATCTCGGGTGTTAGATTCAGGACTTCTCGTTTCACATGGGGCATAACAAGTTGCGCAAGAGGAAGTAGTAGTAGAACAGATGGAGAGTAAGCAGGTAATTGATATGATATCAGTACAATATAATACGGCGCACGATGATATAAGGTATAAGCATATATATAAGATTGCAGGCGCAATGCGCAACACCGCAACACCGCAACGCCGCCCCCAAACTCCCCCCCAAAAACAGTTAAAAAGCAAAACTCACCACCATCCGCCAGCCTCTGCTCCTCGTCCAAGATCTCGGCCGCCAGCTCATTTACGCGCTTCGACATCCTCGCCAGCTCCTTGAGCTCGTTGACGATCTTCGTCCACAAGTCTCTCTCCTCGTGGGCGTCGCCGTCCTCCTTCGGGAGCGCTCGAGGCCTGTTGCGGGCCGCCATGGTCGTATGTGAGGTGAGGGGGAGAAAAGCTGTTTGTTTGGTGTTTGACGCGTGTGGTTGATGTGGGGAGGGGGGGAAGACGTGTGTGTTCAGGCTGCCAAGACGGTCGCTCCCGGTGCCAAGGGATGCGGGTGGGGGTGCATGGTGCAGGGACGAACGTCGCCTCAGCTAGCTGGTGCCTATCTAAATGTCTACGTTCTAGGTGGTGATCGTAATGACGATTCTTACGGAAGCTCAGTGGAAGGGATTGGGCTGCTTGGATTCGTGATTGTAGCTAGCTACTCTACTGTGCTGTGCTCTCCATGGTATGGTGAGAGGTGGAGCTTGTGTTTGGTTCATCCATGATGGTCCGACGTTCCAGGATGACCCCGGATGTCTCCACATCGACTCCCAACGTCAGACGTTTTGACCTATCCCACGGTCTACTTACGCAGCAGAATACAACATGTCTTCCGCTTCTATCGCCATAAAGAAGGCTTCAAGATAGCCTCTTTTCATAATTATGTAGGCGAGGCGGCCTAGACAGCAATGTCCAAGACCATGATCACGTGCTGTCACTCATCTCGACAGCTGCAGGGGTCCATTCTAGGCACTGCGTGCCTAAACACCATAGATATTCTAAGTAATCCGGAAAAAGAAAAGCCAAAGGCTACCATAGGTCATGGCAATTAACCATGCGGGGTTATGTAGCTCTGGAGAATATGACTGGCAGACGATTTGGCATTGTCAACTAGATGTGGTTAGGTTGCTGGTCTTATAATATTCGCCAATTGTAACGATACGTGGCCAATCACGGCAAACATTTTCTCAGACCCTCGAATCCAAGTGTCAGGACCGGTGACTGTGAGTATAGGCGTGATCGCACGAGAGACTTTGTAATTTCTATGTTTTTAAGCCTTTGTGTGAATTTCAAACATTCCAACCACCTGGTAGAATGGAGCGGGTAGCGGAAGGACAATGTTAAGGTCTTGATATTGTTCACTAGCGTCAACCACAACCTCACCACCACAACTACAGCCACTAAACGACCAACCCGAAAAACTCAAACACCGCAGTAAATCGTATGAAAGTATTTGAGGAAATAGAGAAACTGCGGGTTTCCACTGCTGCTATAATAATACCACAATGGTGGTGGAAATTGTCGCCAGCGGGATTTCGGGAGCATTATGACTAGTTTGGCTTCTCGTGATGCTTGGTGGGACTGGATAGGGGATATTTTTGGACATAAAAGGACTGTATGTTGTTTGTGGAGTTCTTTCAGTCTTTCAGTTAGTATTCAACATTGCCTTTCATCACCTGATTTCGTGGGCTTGTTTACCACACTTTATCCTACCATCTTTTATATCTCTAGAAATCCATTGATTACTTTTATATTATCCACCTCTTAAACTTGTCGAAATGGACTCCTCCTGGGATCCCTACACCCAGACCTTCAACCTGACCCGCGTTGACGGCGACATCGTCACCGTCGCTCTAGACACGGTGAACGAATTCAATATCCAAAACGTCAAATGGGCGGCCATCTTTGCCGTTCAAATTGGAGGGGCTGGTGTTCTTCTGGCAATCCTTAGTGTCCTGGCCAAACCTACAAAGCGTCGCGCAATATTTTACCTCAATCTACTATCCCTGGCTCTTGCCATCGTTCGCGGAGCCCTTGCAATTGAGTATATCATAGGGCCATGGAACAACACATACAGATATTTCACGATGGACTTCTCGACAATACCATCGAGCTCAACGGCGAAGAGTATTTCGCAGGCGTTCTTGCAGTTGACCATGATAATTTGTATTATGGTATCGTTGGTACTGCAGATGCGCGCGGCGTATGAGGGAACACCATTTGTGAAGAAAGTGGCAACAGCAGTGTCGGGTGCGGTGGCCGCCGTGGTGCTGGGCTTCTATATAAAGGTTATACAAGAGAGCGTTTCTACAATCCTGAATGCGGGGTCGTATAGTAGCGCTACGCATGATCATGCGAGGCTCTTGTTTACGCTGTCAATATGCTTCTTTACCATATTGTTTTTGGTAAAGCTGGCAGACGCAATTATTCAGCGCCGAAAGATGGGAATGACAAATTTCGGGCCGCTCCAGATTGTATTTATTATGGGGTGCCAGTGTATGCTGTTTCCTGGTAAGTCTCTTCTCTGATACTACTTTAGATAGTTATTGACTGTCCCCGTGATAGCTGTTTTCTGTGTTCTGGAACGTGTGGTCGACTTTGATGGGATGTACTCGTTCACGGTGTTCTTCGTTGTCATCTCTCTGCCCATGTCATCGATATGGGCTGCTTCTGATGGGAAAAACTTACGCGCGCAGCAACAGCAGCAGCAGTCGTTGACGAGGCCGTCTTTTTTTTCCCACAGTTATCGGAGTAAGATGAGTAATGTGGCTACCAACAGCTCTGATGGGGGCACTGACCTGGAGAAGGGTATTGCTGTGAGGGTTGAGAGGGGGTATAGTGTCGATTGTATTAAGGAGATTCCCTAATCTTCTTCAACTTGCGTGATTGCTTAGGCTGGATGTTTTGTTCTTTGGCGGATTCTGCGGTGTTATATTCTTTTTGATGGACTTGGATTTGTTCTGTGTGAATTTTTTAATACCTGTCCCCCCTCCTTTTTTCTTCGAGTTTCTTTCTGAACTAGCGGGCTGGCATTATTGTTATCAGTGGTTTCTGTATTATATACATAGCTCGAATAAACATTACACCTTTCGTGAAGTTTTAGTGCTGGAATTGATGCCTAGAGAGAGTCCTAGCGTTCTCCAAAGAAGCTGGCTCCATAGACTTGCGTGGTGGAACCCCAATGCATTACAGCGGGTTTCATGATACTAGGCTCAGTGAAGCGTCGTGGCACATAG